AGACAACAAAATGATTTACTGTGCCAGTTAGATTAGGGACTTTTTACATATGAACTCTCTTCTTAAACATTTTAACCTCAATTAACTAGCCCAATCCTTAGCACAAACTAGGTGCTCACATAACAGGTTTATTGAGTGAATGAATAAAGGAATATTTTACCTACAGTATATTTTTTACTTCTCATCAACACAATCAAATAAAGGGAGATGTACTTCCTTGTCTTGTTCTCATTTATCTATTTATTAATTTCTAGCTCTCTGTTTATGCGTGGGCCAATGCCACACTAAAAAGATGCTTCTGCTTCTCTTTCAGGAGGTCAGTGGATTCAGCTGAAGGAAAGGGGTGACAACCACCATGTATTCCTTCATTTGGTTGTCTGTTATGTGTCACTCCCTATTCCAGCCTCTGGGGATTTGGAGAAAAGAAAAACAGACAATATCCCAACTCTCCAAGAGCTTTAATTCTATAAAGAAGAAAAAGAAAATAAACAAGAAAACAGACAAATAAGGTAATTGTGTCTACTGTTAAAGGCTATGAGAACCATGAAATGGGGTGATGTGTAATATTGGGACTAATTAGGGATGGGGGTTAGTCTAGGTAGTTACTTCCCTCACTACCTGAGAAGGTTGAAAAGGAGCCAGGCTTGGAAAGATCTGGAGGTAGAGGGGATAGGAGAGCAGTCCAAAGACAGGAATGAGGAGAAGCAAGAAAACACGTGTGGCTGGCACATTATTAGCAAGGGGACTGTACAGTGGGCCAGATGGTATTCTATCTGCTTTCTGTGTTTCAGCCTAATACCTGATTACATCTTTGAAAGAAGGCTATTCACACTATATAGAAAGGGAAATAAGTGGAAGTGGAGGTACAATTATTCTAAATAAATTGACTGTCTTAAAAGTTCAGGATCAGAAGTCAAGCTCAAGTAAAACGATCATTAGATATTGCCTCTTTACTGTCTCTCACTAACCCACTGTGAATGATAAGCAGCAAAATAGTAGACACTCTTAACATATGGTTGATGTTAGAATAAACAACGTTGTTCACCATCGAGGCTAAGTCTATTATATTAAGCTTTTTCTTATTTGCAAATTAATATATTTCCCCCCAAAATTTTATTTATTCAAACTGTGGTAGAAACAAGCTTCATTGTAATGGAATTCTAATCAATCATACTAAAATACTTATTGATATAAATACCAATAAAATTAAAACTCATGATTAGATGAGGATATAGATCATTTGAGCCTTTTTCTAAAGTTTAAAGATAAAATAAAAGATAATTACAACTTTAAAAGACAACATTTACCTCCTAACATTTTCCTAATGATGTTAAAACATTCTATCCATTATTCAAGGCTGAAATAGTGGATTAGACAAATAAGAACATGCTTCCATAAAGCAACTATGAGCACTTCAAAAATAAGATTTAGTTTGTAGTGAATACAATGGACAGATATACCTTTGTCCTGTTTAAAAAAAAATAATAATCTATAAGAGGTCAGTAGCCACCAAAAGGCTAATAAAAATGTTAATAAAAATCCCATGCAACTTTCTTCCCTTGGGCCAGAATAATTTTGAGGTAATATGCAATTTAATTGCACTTACATTGGAAAAAGTTCCTTAAACCAAAGATATCAACATCAACATTAGAGTAGTACCTCAATTAATATATAGAAAACTTGGCCAGTTGCTTTAAAGAATCAGGCTGCAGATTTTTAGAATGTCCACAAGAAGAAAGATGACCTCCGAAATCCTGTCTAAGAAACACATCTTCCTCTCAACAAGTAAGATTCAAGTTTTGAGGAGCCCGTCTTCAGAGAGGAGTTAAAACAGGAACACTTTACCTGTCTAGCAAGTACCAGAGGGTGGTGGCAGAGATCATAAAAAGGAAGAGAAGGAGGATTTGGGCCAGTATGTTCCCCAGCCATCAGAGAAACTTGTTACCAGTAAATTCCTGAGTTCTGGACATGTGGCAGAAGTTTTATTTTTCCTTTCAGATTTGCTTTTCCTGTCCTGGTGGAAATCCCCTGGTAATCATTAAGGATCCTACTTTACATCCAAAAACCTCATTAGAAACAAGGACCACAGTAATCAGTTTGATTTTAGGAGCAAGAGAGTGAAAACAATGTTTCCCTGGCCTCCTGGTGTCCACCTCCCTTCAGAAGAGGTACAAAGCACCGCTCATAAAGGGCTCTCATTACTTACAAGGAAGCCAACAATTTGTAGGGTTTTCTGTACTAGCCTTTGAGATCTGTGATTGATTAGACTTGAGGAGGCTATGAAAGAATATGATTCAATTAAATTGAAATTTTTGTTAAGGCACAGATGAAGGTGAACTGGGAGTTTTATTTTTTAAACTAAAGCCCTAGAGTCTTAATAACATATGCAGTAGTTATTATTTAAGTACCCTCTGCCTCTTCGGTCTTTCCCAGCAAAGCTGGAAGAACTTTAAAAAGCATGTAATTTCCATTTTACCCCATGGGTCCACGTCTCTTGGTCAGTTTGGAAATCAAGCCTAAAACAACAACCAAAGAAAGTTTGAATTTACATCTAGGATGAGAAACAGGTTTCCTATTTCCTGCCAAATCCAATCAATTAGAGGGTGGCTGTCTGCAGTTCTGGGTCGAGCAGAATGGCAAAACACAGTGGGTCACAACAGTGCTGAAGAGACCAGAATGGATTTTTTATGTTTACAGTAGGCTCGGAGACGAACTGTGACCGCACTTCTAAGCATTTGCTGACTCGGATGGAGACATTCAGGCAACAATGGAGACAGATGATTGTTTCAGGGAATTATGATGGAGGAAAAATAAAACTTCCACAGCAAGAAGGGAGAAAACATAAAATATGTATGTGTGTATAACACCTCAAGAGTAAATCCATTCATTCATTCATTCATTCAATATTTGTGTGCTTATTAATATTAATAATATAATAATTTATATAGTACATATAATATCAACATATTTAATGTTTAAGATATTATTGCAGTAAGCATATATTACAAAAATAATGTATATTTTATGTTTTATATGACTAATAAATTAATAAGCATTTATTGAGTGCATCATTCCAGTTGCTAGTGATAGAGGAAACAAAACAAATTTCCAACTCTCATATTCCACATGAGGAAAAGACCTAAAGAAAAACTCAGAAAGATGAGGAAGAACCAGCAAAGGAGACTGAAAAGAAGTAATGAGAGAGAGAGGAAAACCACAAGAAAGGAGTAACGAAAGTGTAAGCCAAGCAAGGAAAGTGTCTCAAGGAGGGAGAGATCAACTGTGTCAAATGCTGCAGTAAATCAAATAAGGTGAGCACTGGAAAATGATCATTGACTCTGGCAACGTAAGTCACTGATGATCTTGGTAAGAATGACTGTGGTGGAAATGTAGGGGAGAATTAGCCCAACTGGAGTGGGCTCAAATTCCCATGGGAGGAGAGGAAGTGGAGGCAGTGAGTATATACAACTCTTTAGCAGTGTTTATTGTAAGGGGAATGGATGGGAGCTGGGAGTGATGGTGGTAGGGAGAGATGAAGGTTTGAGCAGTCAAGGGATGATCTAACGAAGACTATATTGATGACTCAAAAGTGGGGAGAGAAAACCACAGAACCCAAAGGCTGGAGGAGACACGAGGATGGGGACCAGACCCAGTGCCAAGAGGAAGGGGGGAGGGCATGAGATGGAGGAAAAATAACCCTTTCATAGTGGCTGGAAAATAAGGCAGAGGATGTGGGTACAAGATGGTTTGATAGGATTTGTGGGGAGAACGCGTGAAAGTCCTCTTCTGGTGGCTGCTCTTTTCTCAGTGAAATAAAAAGCTAGATCATCAGCTGAGAGTAAAGAGAAGCAAGAAAATTGTAGCAATGAAACAAAAATGGAAATGAGAGAGTGAGAATTAAATAGATCAGGGAGATAGAGTAGAATTGCCAAGTGGTAGTGCCAGGGGTCCTCTTGAGGGTAATAATCATAAATTTAAAATGAGATTCAGTCAGCTGATACTGAATAAGTACCTCTCATTTTTAAAAGGCCCACTTGTCTTCCAATAACATTGTTGGGAAAAGATACTAAGCTAGATTTTTAAATTTAAAAGTAATGGCCAGAGGAAACTCTATAAACTTGATTGATTAAATTATAGTATTATATTAAAGATAATTTCCTTATTTTGATTTTACAGTGGTTGTGGAAAAGAATTGTTTGGTTTTTAGAAAATTCACAGTGACGTATTTGGGGGGAAAGGGACATCATGTCTGTAACGTACTCTCAAGTGGTTCAAAAAAAGAATAATGTATAAGCATAATATTAAACACACATATAAATATGTGTATATATACATGATATATGTGTATATTTACATGATATATATCATGTATATATATATGCATATAAACTTAGAAGACAGACAGGGAGAGTAAGAGCAAAACAGACAGAGAGAGACAGATTAGAGCAAATACAGCAAACGTTGATAATTTGGGGGAACCTGGGTAAAAAATATCTAAGATTTCCTTATAGTATTCTTACAACTTTCCTGTAAGTTCCAAATTATCTCAAAAAAAGAAAGACTGGCCAACCATTTTTCAGATCTGTATTTGAAATGAAATACATTTGAAAAATTACAAAAATTTTTAATTTTATCTTGATTCCTCCACATAGTCTTCTAATGTCACAATTTAGAAATTTTGAGTAACTGTTTAGAATTTGTATTTGAGAAAAACGTAAAGGCAAGGCTGATGCTAGTTTATTTTGCATCTGTGTCTCAAAGCCTTAGGGAAATCTGCCATTGAGTTGTAAATTTCTATTATAAAGAAAGCACATGGTTACACTAGGTGTTCTGTAGACCTCCCTATATTTACATTTCCCCCTTCACTGTGCAACATATGAGCATCTTACTCAACACAAAAGTCCATGAAACATTGTTTCTTTCTCCTACTCCCTTTCCACATTAAGTCCACCAGAAAATGCTGTTGCTTTGATCTCCCATATCCATCCCGAATTCCTTACCTCAGTCTTCCTCTCTGATTGTCACTCTGGTCTGTGTCCCCACCATCACTCCCCTACAGACCTGCTCTCACTATTGCTTCTCCCTGCAATTCATTTTTGACGCAGCAACCAAGGGTATCTATTTAAAGTCGGTCATGTCTAAAGATAGCCCTGTATGTTAACTACATGGGAACTGGAAAAGAAAAAAAAGATGTTTGTGTCATTAAAAAAATAATCATATGAAGTCAGTCATGTCTAAATGTTTAAAATATTCCAATGTTCCTAGAATTCTCTGGACTTTGCATATGCCTCCAACATCTCTCTCTCTCATCCCTATCATTCCACAGGCTCCAACCACACTAAACTTTCCACAGCTCCTGAAATAAGCCATATCTGTTCCTAGATCAGCAATCTTGGACTGCTCTTCTGGAGCTCTCTCATCTCAATATTTTTTCAGCAAAGATTTATGAAGCATCTCCTATGTGCCAAGCACTGTTGTAGGCCTTGGGGGTTACCACAATGAAAGCAGCAATGTGGCCTTTTCGCAGGCTTAGCTTCGAGTCATGACAGACTCAGGATTTGTAGAACCTTAAGTGAAATAATTTGGCATAACCTCTCTAAGAAAAATAACCTACAAGTCATGGAAGCAAAATTAGCTACAGTAGTCAATACTTATTTGGAATAAGAGGAAAAATTTCAACCGCTTTCTGGGCGTTGGAAATTCAGGCCCCTTTCTTCTAAGATATCTGTTAGCAGATTGCTACATATGCCTACATGCTAAGGCTTCCAGATGGCAGTGGCTTTCCCCTCTTCACCCTGAATACACCATAGCTTCTAGAAACCCTGCATTTACAGGGGCTCCAGGCAAGACAGGGGCTCTGAAGCTCAACCTTCATTGACATCATGGGAAATTGACCTTTAATCTATGAACAAGACAGATAATATACAATTATACCAAAAAATATTCCCAGACAGTCTAAGTAACAAAACAATTTAAAAGCAGGCAATGTGATACAAAATGAATGGGCAGGCGGTATTGAATATAGCGGCAGTGAAGTCGTTAAAGTTGATTCCAGAGTAAAGATCATACAAAGCCAAACACCTGTCAAACACCTGACAAAGGTCAGTTTCTTTGGTTTCTTGACTACTTCTCTTGCAGAGAATTTCCAGAAGGGATTACATGGAAGGGTAGCAGAAGGCTATGTTGCACTTATAATACAAAACTGTTTTATATCTTAAAAAAGAGCCACTAATTCAGTTTTCAGAGAAAAGAAGGATTCTGCCATGAGAGAAATAAAACTAATAAGGGAAAGTAATCAAGACCAGCAACCGTGACTTTTCCTTTGAAATGGTGGCACAGATCATCTTGTAGAGTATGTAAGGCATATGAACCTACCCCAAGCCCTTTTGGAAGTTGTCTTCAAAGTCCAGGGTCTCTATTTAAATAGAAGTGTCTAGTGTGGTATCTTAGAGAAATGAATGAAAACAATGAAGAGGGAGTTCAATTTTAATAGAAGACAAAGAGCTAAAGAAAATGAAAAAAAAAATTAAATTCTCAAGTACCACATCTTAAATGCCAAAGACCCATCGGCCATGTATCAAGTTACTAAAAGGTACAGTCATTCAGAATCAGAGAGAAAAAAAATGGTCAGTAGCATCGTACTGTCTCAATCTGGGATAAGGAAAGAGATAAACATTCTAAATGTTTCTAAACTTTTATTGAACCACTTCTTTTAATCTTCTTGAAATTGAATTTTGTCATTTTACAAGAACTCTACTTAGCTCAAAAAGATTATTTTAACAAAAGAGTATTTCAATTCAGGAGTTTAGAGAAATTAGTCAGATGGAGTTGGCTGTCTTAATGACCAGGCTGGCTTTCATCTTCACTGTGATAATGTGCGCAGACACTCAGGAACAGAGAGCTTTTCCCAACTGCTCTTTCAAATGCTTCTGTTAGAGAAGCTCAGAGAAAAGGACGCAGTCTGGCTGCTGAGAATTTCTGTAATGGAATTCCTTCCATCAGACCGGTCATCTTTTGTGAGGGTGTGAATGGTAGGGGCCTAGTTAATTTCCTTTTATTTTAAGATATAGACAAACTGAGGGTTGCTAGAGGGGCGGTGGGGAGGGAGGGATTACTGGGCGAAGGACATCAAGGAGGGCAATGATATGATGAGCACTGGGTGTCATATGCAACTGATGAATCACTAACGTCCACCTCTGAGACTAATAATATACTATATGTTAATTAAGTTGAATTTAAATTAAAAAAAGTTTTTAAGATTTCGTTTATTCATTTGACAGACAGAGATCACAAGTGGGCAGAGAGGTAGGCGGGGTGGGAGTGGGGAAGCAGGCTCCCTGCTGAGCAGAGAACCTGATGCGGGGCTCGACCCCAGGACCCTGAGATCATGACCTGAGCCGAAGGCAGAGGCTTAACCTACTGAGCCACCCAGGTGCCCAATAAAAATTTTTTTAAAAGATATAAAGCTATGGTCTAAAAAGAAAAAGAAAAATCTGTAAACAAATCTGTGTATGATATAAAGAGTATGTCTCCCTTCCCATTTCATGCACAGTCCTCTCCAAAGGTAACTGATGAGAACAGTTTCTTACAGATCCTTCAGGGAGAAGGGGAAAGATACACACACACACACACAAATTTATACACATATATGTGTTTAATGTTTTACACAAATTACATTATATACCAAAAAGAGTTTGAAATTTCACATTTTTTAACTGTTGCCAAATTACCTTTCAAAGAAGTGGTATATTTTGTTTTCCCACCAGTAGTGTATGAGTGTGTCTATTTCTTCATACACTCCCCAACATTAGATAGCAAACCTTTTTAATTTTGCCAATCTGAAAGGTGAGAAAGATCACCATTTTTGGCTTTTGTTGACTTTAATTAGGAATGAAAGTGAGTATGTTTTCATGTTTTTGGCTATTTACATTTCTTTTTCCATTAAGTATTTATCACCTTCGCATGTTTTTCTACATATATTTGTATGTTTTTTCTGCATTCATTTCCTTTTATGTGGTCATTTGCATAAACCATTTGGAAATTTAGAAAAATCACCATTTGTAAATTTATCTGTTACAAATACTTTCCCAAATTAGTCTTTTTAAATTTATTTTTTTAAATAAAATTATGCTTAGAATCTTCTTGCAAGTATTATTTTTTTTTAACTTTTATGGCTTTGGTGTTTGGTGTCCTGCTGGAAAGCTTCCCCATAACAAGATGGTATATAAATTTATTCAACTTTTCTTTTAGTAATTTTTTTATGTTTTTAAATCTTTGATGTACTTAGAAACAATTTTGTATTATTTATTCCAAATTTATTCATATTATTTTTTCCAAACTGTTAGCAAATTTTTCCAGTGTTATTTATGAATCTTTCCCCCTCCACTGATATGATATGGCACCTTCATAATATGTTAATTTCCCATAAATTGTTGCACCAATCACTGGATCCTTTATTATGTTTCCTAGGTGTATTTCTTTGCTGGTACTAAACTCTTTTAGGTATTTTTTTTTAAGATTTTATTTATTTATTTGACAGACAGAGATCACAAGTAGGCAGAGAGGCAGGCAGAGAGAGAGGGAAGCAGGCTCCCTGCTGAGCAGAGAACCTGATGCGGGGCTCGATCCCAGGACCCTGAGATCATGACCTGAGCCGAATGCAGAGGCTTTAATGCACTGAGCCACCCAGGTGCCCCACTCTTTTAGGTATTTTAACTTAATTACACATTTTATTATCTGGTAGACCAGTTTTCTTTTATTACTTTCCTTTTCCAGGATTGTCCTTTTTCTATTTATATGTTTACTTTCACAAATTTACTCTGGTAACATTTTGTCTAATCCCACCACCAACCTTACCGTGTTTTAATGAGACTGAATGGCTTAAACTAGTAAATTGAATTAACATTAATTGATCATTTTTCTTATCTACCCATAAATGAGGTATCATTTCCTTTATCAATGTCAATAGTTTCAAAAATGTACTCATCAAAGTCTTATAAATTCTATACATTTCTCATTCTGTATTGGTCTTTTTGTAACCATTGTGATGGGATCTTTTCTTTCTTTTTATCTAACATGTTACTGTTTCTGTTAGAAAACGTCCTGACTTTTGTATATTAATTTGAAATCAAACATCTTGCTAAAATTTATTAATTCTAAGAAGGTTCTTTTTATGTGGTTCTTTTTTTTTTAAGATTTTTTATTTATTCATTTGAGAGAGAGAGAGAGAGAGACAGAGGGAGCACAAGCAGGGGCAGAGGCAGAGACAGTGGGATCACAAGCAGGGGCAGAGACAGAGGGAGAGGCAGAGGCAGAGGGAGAAGTGGACTCCCCACTGAACTGGGAACCCAATGTGGGACTCCGTTCCAGGACCTGGAGATCATGACCTGAGCTGAAAGCAGATGCTTAAACATCTGAGCCACCCAGGCACCCCTGTGTGTGGTTCTTTAAAATTTGCAAGGTAGACAATCATCTCACCTACAAATGATAGGTTTTTTTCCCCTGTTTTCTCTTTTCTTTTTTCTTTCCAGTGTTTATGCTTCTTATTTGTTTCTCTTGTTTAATTTGTATTCCCTATTACTTCCTGAAAAACATTAATAATATTGTTAATCCTGGGGATCCTTGGGCTTCATCCTGATTTTATTTTGAATGTTTATAGGGTTTCTCCATTAAGTACTTTCGTTATGCTGGGTTTTTGTCAAGTATCTTTGTTTGAATAGGATAAAATTGATAATCAGTTCTCCTCTTTTTAGGCCAATGAGTAATTATATTAATTAATTTTCTAATGTGTAAACATCTTTGCATTCTTGGGATGAACCTCACCAGGTCAAGAAGTAAGCATTCCTTAATCGACTACTTAATGATATTTGCAAAATTTTAGAAGATATTTGTATCTTGTATTTTAGGGCAGGGGGTGCATTTTGATATCATTTTTCTTCTGAAATCATCATGAAAGTTTTTTCTTTCTTTCACTATTCACTGAAATATATATTTTTTTAAATTTTACTTAAGTAAGCTCCACACTCAATGCAGGGTTTGAACTCACAACCCTGAGATCAAGAGTTACATGCTCTAACAACTGAACCAG